CATCGTGTAATTGATGAAACCACCTACAATCACCTGAAGCCGAGCGGTTCCTCGACACCACAGCTGTACGGGTTACCAAAACTCACAAGCAGGGCATGCCACTAAGACCCATTTTGTCGATGGTAAATTCCCCGCAGCACAAATTGGCTCGCTGGTTAGTTCGGATCCTTGCGCCACTGAGGCAGCACTACAATTTGCACAGCATTAAGGACTCTTTTGAAATAATCGAAGACCTAGACCAAATCAGCCTAGCCGACAAGGTTATGTGCTCCGTGGACGTCCAGTCGTTATTTACCAATGTCCCCTTGATTGAGACACTTGATTACATTTGCCACCTGATAGAAGAGGAGAATTTTCGTCTACTAATACCGGCAGACCTCCTGAGACAGTCCGTTACTTTGCACGGAGAACGTCGCCTTCCGATTCCAGCACATCACATATCGCCAAATTGACGGGGTGGCTATGGGTAGTCCGTTGGCCCGGTACTGGCTGATTTTTTCATGCTGATGCTTGAGAGGAAACTAAGTGGACAGATTTCTCAGCTGCCGTATTACAAACGATATGTAAATGATATCCTTGTTTTTGGTTCCACAAATATGCAAATCGAACAACTAGTAGGCCAACTCAATAATGTTCACGCCAACCTGAAGGTGACTTTTGAATTCGAATCGAATGGGCGTCTCCCGTATCTCATCCCGTATTCTCATGAGTCGCAGGGATAATGGGTTGATTAAGCGATCTGTATACCGGAAAACAACGTGGTCCGGCCAATACCTACACTTCACGAGCTTCTCACCGATGGCACACAAGCGCGCGCTAGTGAAAACATTATTCACTCGGGCCAGACGTATCTGCTCCAACGACTGCCTGCCTGAGGAGTTTGAGCTGATCACTAAAACACTTATGGAGAATGGCTACCCAAAGCGATTCATAGACAAACATAGCCAAGTTAGACCGCCCAAGGAGATGGTGTTGACAGCCTCTAAGAAGGTGTACATTGAGCTACCATTCAAGGGTGACACTGCAGCAAGAAGGATAACCAAACGCATTGTCTCGGCCATTCAGCGTACATATTGTGCTGCGGAGGCGGTAATTATCAACAGAACCCGAAACTTGCCGTTACCTTCAGTAAAGGAAGATGAACCCGTCGGCGCCAAATCACATTGTGTCTACCAATTCGTATGTGACTGCGGTATCAGTTACATCAGCAGGACCGAACGCGTTTTAGATTCCAGAGTGAAGGAACACTTAACAAACTGGGTTCAGCGCGAAGTTACTCAATCCACTTCCGATGATACATGCTCGCGTAAGCCGCCAGCGTCCCCCATAGGCAGGCACATCTTGGCGACTCGTCACCGGGTTAATCCCTTATCAGCGTTCCGGATTTTGTTACGTCATACTAATGCACGCCTTTTACGATTTGCCGAGGCCATCGCTGTAAGCCTAATTATACCAGCTTTGTGTGTCTAAAAGCAATTAGTTGTCAAGCTGCGGTTGCCGTGGATCTAATCCCAACAACAATGGCCACAACCATAAATTCGATTGGCTTGACTGTGCCCTGTAAGACATATAAAACGATTTCCCTGTTATGTTATTGGTACTGATGAGATAATACGAAATGCTGGCATCTGCCAGTAATTATCTTCTCATTTCGTTGTTAAAACTACTGAAAGGGACTAACTGTTTAACTTAAATTATCCACAACGGCTCCGTCGTCTTGGGCTCTTCTCCATGAAATATTGACGGCTTCGGGGCGACTTGATCTTCTTATTTGCATTTCTATCCAACCCTGGACACTCCTGCCGCCACTTACTGCAACTGCACCACTCATGCTCTCATCTTCGTGGTCACCCACTCCGGCTTACACATCAGCACAGCCGGGCGAACTGCAGGCGACATTTCTTCGTTCTGCATCGTGATCTCCCCTGAGACAACTATCTGCATTTCGGATTACCATACCCCAGACTAGCCCCCGTCATCTCTCTGCCACTTCTCACCAAGCACAACATTTTGTTCCTCTACCCCCAACGCTTCCGATTTACATGTTGTTGGATACTTTTTCCTTTATGCTACTCTTTCTCTGGCAGTATCAGAGGGCGTGGTCGTGTGTCCAGCTTCGAGCCGGCGTACATTCTGTTCAAATAGGCTCGATGAAAACACGGCTAACGCGAATCCAACTCGCTATAAGGCTGCTTGACCTTTCCATATAATCCAACGCTATTTCTTTACACCTTTTGAGTCATATAAACTCCAGCTTTTTCCCCATAAATACAATGTTCCAAGCGTACTGGTCAAGTTATTGGAGAAGTTGGTTAGTGATGTGCTTGAAAACCATCTGCGGGAATCTGGTCTGCTCAGTCCACTTTAACACGGCTTTCGCAAGGGTCACTCATGCATGACTAATTTGCTACTTGCACGCGAATGTTGGGCGGATGCTTTCTACCGGGGTCATGCGGTAGATGTACTGTTTTTTGACTTCTCCAAGGAGTTCGACACTGTACCACATTCCCGCCTCTCCTTGAAGCTTCGGTCCTATGGAATATCAGGGCGTGCACTACAATGGATTACCACATTTCTGGAAGAGATAGAAATGCGTGTTCTTGTGGGGTCTAGTCTGTCTTTCCGTCAGTCTTCAGTGGAGTCCCGCAGGGTTCAGTGCTTGGCCCATTGTTATTTTCTCTGTATGTCAATGAGCTATCCGAAATGCTGGGGCTACCATCTCTCATGTTTGCAGATGATATAAAGTGTCCGATCTCGATGGACCCAGACTCTGCAACGGGCCCTGGATAAACTTAGGAACTGGACTGGACTGTTCTCTGGCAGTTGTTCATAAATAATGCAAAATGTTCCGTTTTACGATTAGGGCCGAATGGCCCCCAAACGCGTTACTTGCTTGGCGGCAATGAACCACAGCATGTTTCTTAACTGGTAGACCTAGAAGTCACGTTGTCTTCAGAACTTAAATCCAGTGAGAACTGGAGGAAACCTACATGCAAGGGTTTCAGAATGTTGTGAATGTTCCGCAGGGCATTCGGGACCATCAGGGGCGATATGTTTGTTAGGTTATTTTCAGCCTGTCAGGCCACACTTGGAATACTGCATCCAGACTTGTCCACCTTGCTTAGTCAGGAACAAGATGTCAGTAGAGTGTTGAGAGTTGGAATCAAAATGGTTCATGGACTACGGAACATTTCTTACGCAGAAAGAGTACTTGAGCTGAGAATCTTCTCAATGCATTATTGTCTCAATCGATGCGACCTGATCTTGACCTATCGCGTACTTACCGGTAAAATCGGACTCGATTTTCTGGGCTTTTCCACTCGGCTGGGCTTCCATCTCTCCGAGGTCACTCGGTGAAGGTACACAAATCTCGATGGGATGGAGTCCTGGCGGACTTCCGTTTATCACGCCGAGTGGTGGATTCTGGAATACACTGTCCGAGAACTTGGTATTGACACCAACGGTGAAAACATTCGAACACCGACTTGCCGCCCTTGGCCTTCAGTTCTTAACTTTCCCCTTCACATCTTAGCTCATTCGCCTTATTGAACTATTCAATCAATTACTTTTTGCTTTTTAACGCTCTTATTACTTTCCTACTTCTGTTTCTCGTTTCACGTGACTGGTGTGGCTGGGACTGCCAATGCAGGTCACGGGGGTATTAATTGGTTGACCGTGGTGTGATTCGTGCTGATTTGACTCTTCTGGATTCCAGTTATCGAGGATGAATAATACCCTGGATCAAGTAAGCGCCACGGAAGGAACATTCGCGGAAATTTATCCTAATGTTCCAGTCCCACTTGAACTTGAGCATCCAGTCATCTACGAGGTATATATTGTGTTGCAGCTCTAAGGATTTATTACTCCCCGTCGTACTATTTGGACACGGAAGAGCTTGAAACGCCGGACCGGAGGAATGTTACAATTTAAGTGCGGATTGCGGTTTCCGAACGCTAGACTTTTATCAGAAAGTTAATGCAAGCGTTGTTTCGTCGAATTCTTGAATTTTACCGCTGACTTCTTTAGTTGTGATTTTGAGATAAGGCACTAGTTTAGGTTGGCTTGCATTAAAGCCCACGACTATTTTGCCTGTAGTAGATCTTAGTGTGTTGATTTAGAATTTTGAATTCATCTGCGATATCCCGACCTTAGCGCTGCATTTTTCCCATGCGTGCAATGCACCTTTGCGCGTGTGTTCTATTAGTTCCTTTAATCACCTCAGGTTTTCATCCAAAAACGTCTACGTCAAAACCAATTTCGAACTGACACCTACTATTCAGGGAGAAAGATGACAATACTTGCACGCGCTCTTTCATCCCGACTCCCAGTCACCTTTTTGGTTATTTATTACATCTTTCTGATCGTTCGTACGGCATTCGGTATTGATCAACAACTACTGACACCATTGTCTGACGGGTGCCTGATGAGCGACGCATGAACGATTAATGGCGTTTGAGTGGCAATGAACTGTGTCACTCATCGGGCGCTCGCCGAGAAAAATTAAGCTGGCCTCCCCTACGAACGTTCAGTTTTCCCCAGATTTTGCCCCCTATAAAAATAATCTAGTCGCAGTAACTTACTCCAACTACCACTGGCTACACCTTACAGCTATTCCAAACATCTGACGATATACACATTACATGGCGACAAGTAATTTACAGACCAGAATCTTGCTGCACAAACCGTTCTGTCTACTTATGTAGACACGTTTCCGGCATTTTAATTTTTGAAAATCGACTTGATGCCCACTTTATGGAGTTTAAAATCTTCCCTTTCATGCTTTAGGATTTTACTCGTCTGTTGCGGCCTACTCCTACTTGTTTCATTTTCACTTGTACCTCAATATTACTCACGTAATTTGATTATCTTATCCTTCCCCATATTTCCTTTCGTTTGCTTTTATTCGCGTGACCGGCACAGCGGGGACTGCTAGCACAGGGCACGTGGACGTTGTTTGGTTGACCATGTAAATCGTGTGTTGATTTACCTCTCCTTTGATAGATCAATCCACCGCATTCTCTGGTGGATCAGCGACGTTTTCGAAGGCAGAACATTTTCGGGATCTTCCTACTGTTCTGATCTCACTTGAAATTGTATTTTAATGCATCTGTTCCCAAAATGACATTTCACGACCACTCGATGAGTGTCCCACATCGGGCGCTGGGGTGACCGATAGTGGTAATTGGGCAACAGGACCGTTTGGCACTACCCGAAACATTGTTCCGCGGCCCCCTACTAGCACAATCCGGCAATCCGTTTCGGACTGTCAGCGGATTTCTGACAGTCGGGATATTGTGACAGGTTTACTTAAACACCTTTGTCTTATGTGGTACAGTAAGTTAGCGTAATCCTGCACCCTACCTTTTGCAATATTTATAAAAAAACTACATAATTAAGAATATTCATAACCACACATTACTTGGATAGCAGTACGTTATATTTAATGTTATTGAAAGAAATCTGCTGAAAACACAATTATAGCCAAGATATTAACATTTTATTGATATTTTTATATCACGACCAAACAGTTGGCGGGCACCTGATGTTATGTCTCAGAAACTGAATTTCTCAAATCATTTTCTACTGGACACCTTTGGCGGCGATCAGTCGTCATCACTGTCCGATATGAAAAAATCGATATCACTGCAGGATTCTAAATCACTCTTCTGCTTTTCCTTGGAATCATTTCTGAGTTGAGCATACGAACAAAATGGTTTATCCTTGTGTAAAACATTTGTAGTCTATTGAACACGAACTTCATTTAACGGATGTTTTTGTGATCGTGGTGTTTTTGCTGCCTTTGCGAAGACATCACGAAGCCGTTGATCCCTGGTATCTTTCGGACCATGTGAACTGCATGGTTTCTTTTCGTCCGGATGACTTCGATGCTTACGGTCTATTTTATTTTAATACAAAATTCTCCATGGTCTTGTGATTTCTCCTACCTTTGCTGCTTCTTGCTGCTCCATTCGCTCCATGCATTCCTGAGCACCCAGACTCTTCATAATGTCCTTTAATTGTCTTTCTCTGGGTTTTAGATGTGCTTTGTTCAGGAATGATGACTCTGTTGAAAAAAGTGTCTAATAGAGTTCCTTTGATCGTTCTGCTTCTCAGCATGAGATTCTTTTATGGATGTGGAAAGTTGAGATAAAGCTCATTCTGTCGTCATGGCAGAACTGGAGCGGCTAACTACATTGTCGCCTTACCGTATGCCTTACACTTGTGCGACTTGCATCGTGCGCTGTTGATGTTGCTTGCACACTGCCCACATATTCTGCAGGTTCATGCATAGATGATGGACTTTTAGAAGGGTCAAACGGCATGATGCCACATTTGCTAAATCCGGATAAAATATTCCTTTGCTTAGTCACTTTCCCATAACTTCTTCAGAAGAATAGGTAATAGCTCTTTGGACAAGGCTATACCTAGCTTCTGCCTGGCAAATTTAATAAGAATTTTCTCCAACTCTTCCTTGGTCCAGAGACACCCACACCGAAAAGTTGGAGCAAGTGGGTTGAATTTGATGGAAGTCTCATAATTATAACACCATTTTGAATTGCTGCTCTAATGACCTTAATATTCTATGTAAAGCTTGCCAATCAACAATTAACAGAACAGCTCTAGTTTCTGGTAGCATTGCTATGAAATGGTTTATAAGCCAGTCACTAAAACAAGCATTGTCCATCCAACCTTTTTCAAAGATATTGTATCTAACATTGTTAGGTCCATTTTGCGTCCAAGCAACTATTTTTGGCCCCATAAATAATATATGGGGGAAGCATGGTCCCATCAGTCCGAGCACATCCTTGCACCTTGATAGAATCTCTCCCTGAGCCGCCAATGACACGAAAAAGGTTTTTGATCCTCTTTTCACAAATCACTTCAATCACTTAGGGTCGAGTGGAAAGCCACTCTCATCCACGTTTTAAACTCTTTCGGGCGTATTCATAATGCCACTGATTGTGAGGGTTTCATTTTGCAGCTGAAATCACTTTGCAGCCAACTGAACTTTTGATTTTTTTAGCTGCTTTGGAGTTCGGCATGTCAGATCAGGATGTCTCTAAAAATATTATATAACCAATCTCGACCACTAACATCCTTCTTAAAAGGAACAGTCTTATCTTGACCAACGGAAGTAGTAAAGTCATACACAATTTCCATTGTTCCTGTGCATGTGAATCCGAACCCCCACTGGGCACCAAGTTTTAAACTACTGGAAAGTTCTGCTTCTGTGAGAACTATTCTTCCACCAGCTCCCATTTAACTATATTTTCCTTTTACGTGGTCTCGAATTGTCGCTTTTTTCAAGTTGTACAACTTGGCAGCTTTCTCGTACCCCATGGTCCCTTTTCTAACTTAAGCAACGGCTTGTTCCATTGCAGCTGTGTCATATGCTTCCTTTTTATGTTCGTAGTTTCGAACCGTTCTAAATCTCGAAAAGAAATCAATATTAAACCACTCACATCCAAGAACGTCACAAGTAAACATGAGTTAAATGTACACTGTGACGTGTGGAATTGCCCCACGAGATTTTAATTTGGGCTGCATAATTGCCCCGACATGCTAGTACTTTGTTACTCAGGTACGTACAATCAACTCATGAGACAAATAATTTAAACGTGAACAATTATTATCACTATGACCATATTAATATATATTCCTCTATTTCTGACAATGTAATATGTTTTAAGACAATTATAGATTTTTAATCAGTGTAACCTGTCTATTTACATGCAGCTGACTGCATTGCTCGTGTATTCTATCTCTCTAGCCGAACACTTGTACGTGGTGCTGCTCGTATGTAAACGAGAAGCTGGTAAAATGGTGTCACTAAAAAGGATGGTTGCTGCATGGACCCAAACTACGTTCCATTTAAGAAAAAGTTATGAAACTAGAAAATGAAATTACCATCAGTGCGGGACTACCCCAACTTATTGTATACCACACCAAATGCTACGAGTAACTATTGGGTACGATAATTTAGTGCAGATGCCGTCGGGTGGGGAATGACTTAAACCGTTTACCGAAGACTTTTGTCGAGGCGCCGACCGAGGAGTATCAAACAGCTTTTGGATACCCACCAGGATCGTACAATTATACTGAACCGCAAAGGCTCTGTAAGGGATTACTGGGTCGCGACGACCTACGCACCCTCTATAACACAATGAACTTGATGACTTCCTTGCTTTTATGCGACACGTTCTGACGAAATTGACTGTGTATGCGTTGTTACTGTGCTGTTGGAGGCGCGACAGGGGAGACCCAGGCTAGTAAGGCAATACCTTGGGGATACCAGAAAGAAGCGAAATGAAGCGCGGGGAAATTGTTATGGCACTCCGGTAGCAATCCGTAACGTTTTCTTGGGACTTCTTTCGGACTCTCAGTTTACCGTCGCCGGACTGCCAACAAACTCTCAGCGATGGAAAACGGTATGGATAAGAGCCACCTATTACTTGACTTCGATTCCCGTTCCGAATATTTTCCGTTCTAGCTTTTACCGGATGGAAATCAGTCACCGTAGTGAAATCGGGAGGAAGCCGGTCATTGCGCGAACAGTCTTACTGTAAGGGACGGCTGTGATCGGCCTTCAACATGACAGCAAGGCGTAGACGTCCAGTTTAACTGTCATCAGTCCCTAGCGTCTTCCGGGCTTGCTGGAAACCTCTGAGGACATAGCACACAATCAGGCTCATTGGGAGCATTGTATATGATTGGCGGCATCCGGTTTCGGATTTGCCTGTCACTGTGGCCAGCCACAAGACGCCTGCGCCTACAGAGGGACCATGGGTGGCTTGCGCTGCACCACCCACAGCTCCAACCACACACCCCATATCCAGTGTAAACCCGAAGGAATAAGACCGGGAGGCATGTGGATGGGAGCCACGTTTCATCAAGGGAGTCGGCCCACACTCCTTCACAGGCAAACATAAGCACGCTGTATTTGGGGAATCAATCGCACATAAGGCGGTGGCTGCACCGTAGTCCGCTCCACACTGAGTACATGGAACCACTCTTCGATCCTAACACGGCCACAAGGACCGTGCACCCCGTCCCCTCCAGCAACGACCAACTGTCTCCTGGAGCCAGTCTGGACGAGGTAGTGGGTAATAGACAGGTAGGCACCTTGTCAACATGCACATCAAGCGCAGCCTCACCGGGGATATCAAGCAACAGCCAATCAATTGAGAGCAAGATAACAAAGAAAATAAATCGAGTAATGCATAAGGAAAGGGTGACATATATCTTAAAGTAATGGGCATCTGAAGTAAATTGTTTACAGAAGAATGCGAGATAAGTTCACGAGGTCAGAAAGTATACTTTACGGAAATGCCACGAACACAAAAATGTTTTCGAAAAGGACTAGAATTGGCTTAAGTGACGTGTGTAAGTTTATAGAAGAGAGTACAGGTAGACATTTATATGAGAAAGCAGAGCATTGGGACAAAATTGAAAACCCACCACCTGAAATAAACAGACTTAGCACGTAAGCAAACGGTGGCATAAATCTTAAGTTAGGGAGCATATGAAATAAGTTGTTTACAAAAGAATACGTTTACAAAAGAATACGAGGTAAGTTCACGAGGTCAGGAGGTTTATTTTACGGAAATGCTACAAACACGAAAATGTTATCGAAATAATTACAAGTGGCTTAAGCGACGTGTGCAAGTGTATAGAAGAGAGTATAACTAGGCATTTATATGGGAAAGGAAAGCATTAGGGCAAAATTGAAAACCCACCACCTGAAATAAATAGACTTAGCATGCAAGCACGCGGTTAGTAAATTGAATGCAGCGTGCCTACAAACGCTGCGCCGGTTCTGTCTACGTTCTCTGCAGAACCCGTCGTCGCTTCGGTAGTAGTCCCGAGTGGCCTCGCTCATGACTTACTAAGCCTGCCTGACTCAGGCACTCGCGACCGCATGTGTTACATCACCATGCACTCGATGTCGATGAAATACAATCCATCGGTGCTTGCCGTTTCCGCACTTGCCGCTTCTTCTCTGCATGCATGAGGTCTTTTTCCCGCACTTCAGCAACTGCCTTCGTGATGAGATCGCGCCATACGCGCCGATCAACCGCTTTCGATTCGCATGACCTGCAATTAAGATTAGAGCGTGTGAGGCTCACTTTGATCATGTCCTGGTAACGTAACTTTGGTTTCCCCATTATATATATATATATATATATATATATATATATATATATCGGGTGTAGATACCAGTTAGTTTACTCAACGGGTATGGTCAGTTTTGTCACGCGTTCTCCCATGACAATCAACTGACTCTACTTTAGTTCCACCTAACCAGTCGACGGAGTAGGTTCTCCTCTTACCAC